GGAGGACGACGAAGACGATGGCGATGACAAGGCTGGGGATGACGACGAGAGCGAGGGTAAGGGCGGGGTGGAAACGGGCGGAGGTGGAGGAAGGGGACGGGGCTAGGGAAGGGAAGGAGAAGTGAAAACCTAATCAGACCAAGGAGGGCGAACTCGGCCTGGTTCGGCCGCTTCCTCCATGGGAAACCTCCCAATCAACCCTGGGGGACTCCCTTCTTTTGCCCCCTCAGGAGGGAGGAGGTGGAGCAGGGGGGAGGCAGACGAGGGGTGCCGTGCCTATCCTTGGCGATCCGCCAGCCCGCCGGAAGCCACGCCTCGGAGAGCGCCTCTGGAGGCACACAACGACACGCCTGCGCCAAAGTCCCATTGAGAACAGAGGGACGACACGCTGATTGGATCGCAGCAGGTGGTGGATCGAACTCATCGGTCGCCTCTGCTTCCTCCTCCTCCTCCTCCTCCTCTCAGACTGGCTAGCCCGCAGACCGGCATACTCCTGGACTGCGGACTCTGGAGCCACCGCCACCCGTGCGTGGACTAGCGAGCTCGCCGACCACCTCCGACATCCCACTACAGTGGCCGCAGACGAACCACATCAGTGATCAGGTACGGTCCTACAGAAGAACATCGTTTAAGAACATGAGACCCTCCGCCGGCCAAACTGAAGAACATTCGAGGGTGCCCTCCCCCAGGATGCAAAAGAACATCCAACAATCACGACGAACATTAAGGCACCCTCCCCGTAGGTATTAGGTATCACGACGAATCTCATACCTCGGCCCGACAGTGGGTACGTTCTCAAAAGCAGAAGCAAACACCATAAACGCAAACTTTTGGCGCTCCGCGCGGAATTCTTGGAACTGAGCTGGACCCCCCTCCCTGGCGCGCGGAGCGCGCCAGGGGCGGCGCCGCTGGGGGGGCCCAGCGCAGATCCAAGAAATCCGCGCGGAGCGCCCAAAGTTTATTTGTATGGCGTTTTGTTCTTCTTCGAGTGCTATGAGTCATGAGCCAGATCATGACTGCTTTGTCTCTGTTTGAAATGAGCTCCCTGCCGACAACGCCTGCAGCGCGATGGGCGCAAGGCCGCGAGCCTTGCACGCTCGGAGCAGGCTTCCTGGCAGCGCTGGACTGGCAGCGCGAGGTGCGCCGGGAGCGGCGGGCCGCCCACAGGAGCGCTGTGCGCCAGGAGCGCGAGGCGCAGCGCGAGGTGCGCCAGGAGGAGGAGGAGGAGGAGGAGGAGGAGGAGGAGACGGAGGAGGAGGAGGAGGAGGAGGAGGAGGAGGAGGAGGAGGAGGAGGAGGGATGAGGGATTGAGGGATGGAGAGGAGGAGGCGGAGGTGAGGAGGAGTATGGAGGAGGCAGGAGGAGGAGGAGCAGGAGGAGGAGGAGGAGGAGGATGAGGAGGAGGAGGAGGAGGAGGAGATGGAGGAGGAGGAAGAGGAGGAGGAGGAGGAGGAGGAGGAGGAGGAGGTCACGGCTTCAGCAGCGCAGGCCGCGCGAAGCAGGCCGGAAGCGAGCCCACACGCATGGCGCACGGTGGGCACGCGCGAGGCACGCTGCAGGGGCCCTGGCCCGGGGCACCTGCAGTGAGGGAACCACGGTCGGGAACTGCCAAGCGGCCTCCAAAAGGGCACCGATGTTGTTGGCCAGGGAACTCTGGCCGGTGACCTCCGACGGCCTCCGGCGACCTCAAAGAGGTCACCAGCGGCCGGGTCACCAGCAGCAGCGTGAAGCAAGCCCTGGTACACGTGTACATGCTCGCGCCACTCGGGGGAATGCAACAGCGTGTCGCGGCGGCGGCCCCGGGGCACCTGCAGTGAGGGAACGACGGTCGGGAACTTTTGCACAGCTGAGTGTGGTTTAACCGATCCCCATCCCCAGCGGCGTGGCCTGGGCCCCACTGGGCGATTTACCCCCCTGGATGGGGATGTATGTCGTTCTCTTCGGGTTTCGAGGGGTGCATCCCCAACTGGGGTGGTAATTTGGTGGGGGTCTCGGAGGGGATGGAGATGGGGACGGGGATCGGTTAAACGATACCGAACAGCGTGTCGCGGCGGCGGCCCCGGCGACACGCGCCATGCCGTGCGAGCAGACAGCGTGTCGCTCCACTCCACGGGGCAGGAGGCTCGGAAAAGCTCGAGACGCTGACACGTGGGGACCGGGACGTGGATAGCGTGTCGCGCCGAAGCGTGGTGGGCCAGAACTGGCGGAGCGACACGGTGTCCCAAAGTTCACAACCGTACCCAAGCAAGCAGCGAGAGACGTCCAGGCAAGGCTGGTTGGGCAAGAAGGCGACGCGCCAAGGCCAACCTCTGGCTGGCACGCCGCAACTTTTCTCCAGCATGACAGAGCAGGGGATGAGATCGCCCCAGATGGGCGTGTTGCGAGGCACGATGCCCGAGGTGATCCACCCTGGCTTCGATGCACGTCGCACGAGAGGGCACCAGAGAGGGAGGTGGAGGAGGAGGGGACTGAGGAGGGGGCCAACCAGCCCGCCGCACTCTTGGTGCCGGCACTCGCTCCTGTGCTCCCGAAGCTTGGACAAGGAGGGCCAGCACGGCCCTCTACGCCAGGTTCGTGTCGTGACGGCCCTGGCGATGGCTTCCTGCTAGCGCGTACACAGTTCAGCCTTGAACGGTCAGCGGCTCTTTGACCGCCAGATCGTGCCATACTAGGGGAAATCGACATGTATCGATACCGCTACTCTCTGGACCTCTCATGGGGTACGTTCTGACCAGGATTTCGAAGCGAATCCAGCGGTGGCGACGAGGGCCGTCCAGTAGGCCCAAGAAGGGGAAACGAGGGAAGGGTAGCAGTATGGGTACCGTCTCTTCCTCCGAATATTCGCCGGTTCTGGGCCACTGGCGACGTTCAACCTTGAACACCCGCGGCGGGTCGCTGCCGCGTCGGCACGACACAAGCCTACCGCACGCAGAACGCATCCGCACACCGCCACCCTGCCTGGCCAGGGCCGCCCCAGGCCCCAGGGCGGTGCGCGCGCGCACTCCCGTGCCGAAGCCGAAGCCGAGGCCGAGGACCAAAAGCCTCGTTCTTCGAACCACGAGTCTCGAGCGGCGGCGACGACGTCTACACACTTGATTAATCTCTACGGAACCCTTGGACGAGAACAAACTGCCATCTCTGACTACCTACCAAACCAACCCAACCGAACCCGAAGATTTGAATACGGGTTCCACACGTGTTTTTCCACACATCCAAAATGGAGTTCTTGTTTTCTCTGGACAGCCCGCGCAGGAACCAGAACACACACTACATCATCACCAAGTTACTCACTCACTCACTCACTCACTCACTCACTCACTCACTCACTCACTCACTCACTCACTCATCATAGACTCATGCACTCAGTCATCACGTCGCCATCATGCACACACATACACACACTTATCACCATCAACATCAATAACTCATTCACTCACCCACTCATTCGCTAGCTTGAATACGGGGGAAGTATCAGGCGGGAGCCTCGTCTGTGAGTGAACTGTGAGGAAGTCTCAGGCGGGAACCCCTTCCGTATTGGGGCCCGCACCTCACGTTTTTAATCCGAGCGGGTCACCCTCGAACTTGTAACTGTCGTCACTTTTAGTCTCCTTCGGCCTGAATATAGGGGAAAGGCAGGAGCCTCGTCTGTGAGTGAACTGTGGGGAAGTCTCCTGCGGGAGCCCCTTCCCTATTGGGGCCCGCACCTCACGTTTTCAATCCGAGCGGGTCATCCTCGAACTTATAACTGTCGTCAAATTTTGGCTTCTTAGGCCTGAATGTGGGGGACGTATCAGGCGGGAGCCTCGTCTGTGAGTGAAGTGTGAGGAAGTCTCAGGCGGGAACCCCTCCCTTTGGGGTCCGCATTTCATATGTTTAATCCGAGCGGGTCATCCTCGAACTTGTAATTGTCGTCACTTTTGGGCTCCCGAAGCTTGGATATCGGGGAAGTATCAGACGGGAGCCTCGTTTGTGAGTGAACCGTGGGGAATTCTCAGGCGGGATCCCCCTCCCTATGCGCTCTTCAAAAGGCGATTCGCCCGACCCATCAGGTGAGGAGGAAGAGGAGGCACAGGAGGTGAGGACGACGACGGCGGCCGGGCGCAGGAGGAAAACCTTGCGTCCGGGCCAGGGGTGGTAACCCATCCTCGGTCGAAGCGGGGGCAGGGTTGTCCCAACGGCCGCGCGACGCGGCCATTCGAGCATGCGCACGCGCTGGCCGTGGCGGCGACGGCGTCAAAGAAAATCGACGCGCACGCTCTTGCAATAGACAGGAGAGAAGGTGGTGGGTGACGAAACAACCAGCAGGAGGGCGAGGCAAGGGAAACGCGGGGAGCGTGTGAGGGCCCTGCGCCAGGGCGAGAATGATAATGACGCAGAAAAGATAATAATGGCGCCTCACTGATCGCGAGGACGACAGTGAAGGTCAGCTCCAGATTAGCCAAAATGATTTTCATGTGGGGTCTTTCCGTCGGAGTGATTCGATGCGATGTTACCCGACACCCCCCACTGGGAATGGAGGGCAAATTGGGGCCTTCGGGTTGGGTTGGGGTGGCTTGGTGGGTGGTGATCTCTTACTTAGGGCGGATTTTTTGTCGCTGGTTCGCGACATCTGGGCGGAGAAGATTGATGCAACATCGGCGCAGAAACACTACCCAGGAAGCCGGGGTAATATATACGATGTCTGCTTTAACCGTACATGCAATGGCAATTCCAAGAGGGTCCGCAGTTTCAGATGCCACCGTACAGAAAAAATGGTCCACCCCTGTTTTGTATGTAAAGAAAGGCACCGGAAAAATAACGCAAAACTGACTACTTTCAAAAATCCGACGGGGGAATACATGGCTGTACCTTTCTTGGGACGGATTCGAATATTTGGATTCCGACAGCCTCCACTGCCGGCCTCCGCCGCCCTTCCGCCACCTGCCGCCTGGAAGGAGGCGACGCCTCCTCCCCCCCTCAAGGGCGTGGGGGGGAGAAGTCGGCTCCTCCTCCTCCTCCTC